CCAAAACAAAATGATCCTCAGCCTGGTATCCCACATACTTCCATAAATATGACTTATTTTTTGCCTTTAATGTAAATTAAAACCCAGTTTCTCTCTAAACTTTCAAAGTAAAAACACTAACTGTAACAGCCCAAACTAGGAGTTATTAGATATGGCTTCACACTACTTAGAAAAGGCAAATAATTCCAAATACTGCCTGAAACAAAAGGCCTCATCTCCACCTTTGTGTCTCATAAACTGGGAATTCCTTAAGGGCCCTAATTCAGTGAACTTCCCCAGGGCAAAACAGAAGAAAAAAAATAATGCCCACAGCAAGAAAAAACAGAGAATAGAGAAACCAGTTAGTCTGGGCTCCCTGGCTGCAAGAAGAAACTGGTTTTCCTGGAAGTGGTTTGAATTGTGGGGTCAGCTAGAACAAGGATGGGGGTCAATTTATTACTGTCTCTGCTCCAGGCTAATCCACACCTACGTCAAGAAGCTTGGCCTGAAGCTGAACAAGTTCATCCAATATGATGGCAATACCTGGTACCTCATCAATGGACAACGACATCGCAGTTGGGAGGTCAAGGCCAACCCAGAGATCCTGGGCTATTCCATGAACCCCACAGAGAAGGGCAAGAGTGCCATGAATCTCTTCCACCAGTCCATTATCAAGGTGCCAACTGCCTTATCCCAGCTAGGGTTGGGAAGGAAGAGGGTCTCGCCTAAGGCTACTTGGCAAGTTAATGGATGGACTCAGGTCATCCAACTCCTACCTGGTGCTCTTGTGGTGGATCCACCTTCCTTCTAACACCTGCTAAGAACGTATCACTCCCAACCCCACACCAACCTCCTCCCCGCCCTCCCCCCCCATCCCCGTCCTTGGGTAGTCCAATGGCCTATTACTTGATCAGTGGAAGCGGGAGGAAAGGGAATCCTAGATTAGCCAGTCCTTGGTAATGAATAACTCCTCCTGGATCACAGCGAAGTTCTCTGCCTTAAATTTTAGTCTCCAAAAGGTCTTTAATGAAGGGGAGATGCTTGGAGAAAGAGTAACAGGCAGGAGTTCCTGGAACTACCACCCCTCCTCCTCCTTATCCCCACTTTTTTCAAGGGACATCCAGAGAACCCAGAAGTCATGCCTTTAATTTAAAGGAATGCAGAGGCACCAGCCTCAGTCCCCAGACATCCTTGTCCCCAGCAGCCTGATGTCCCGGAGGCCCAATTTGAATGGTGGTATCTCTCTTCCCCTTCTGCAGCTCAAACAAAGTCTGAAAATGTTCAACTGCAGCCACCTGATGTCCTTCTATGATTCTTACTCCACCAAGGTGAGAGTGGCAAAGAAGTTCCAGGATGGAGATGGGGTGGTGGACTCTGTGCTCAGCCTAGCCTCCTGGCTTGTCATCTGCCAACCAGGATGCTCTCTTCCCACTGCCAAAGGCTTCCTCTTGCTGGAGTCCATTCCCACACTGGTCTGGGTCCAGGCGCCTACTGGATCTACACTCTGGGCCCTCCACCCCACATTTCCATCTTCTGTACCTCCCCACAGGCTTACCTGGTGAAGAAAGGGATGCTGAGTGGAGGCGCAGTGCAGATGATTGGAGATGTGATGAATGAGAACGCTGGGTACTATAAATCCCTCCTGGAGTCCCTGAGGAATGCTAACATCTTCTCCAAAAGTGATGAGTAAGGTGGATCTGGGGCCAGGATGAGAGTCCTCCTCCTCCCCAACACTGATTTACTGGGTATTTACATGTGCCAGACACTCTGCCAAGCACTTTCCAAGAACTGTCACATCTAATCCTTAATATCTCCTATAAAGTAGATGGCATTATTCAGAGCCATTCTACAGGTGAAGATGCTCAGACTAGGGAACTTATTCAAGTTCACACAGCTTAGGCAAGGGCTGAAGTCAGACTCCAAACTCAGGTCTGTAGATTTCTACCTGCAAAGTAGAATTTCAGGGTAACTGAATATCTGTTAGATATTACATCGCGCTATATCCACTACCCCAGATTCAGCCCTAGATTGCCTATGTGATAGTGGGAAAGTCACTTTAGGGTGTCAGTTTTCCAAATTGTCAAATTAAGTAACAATCCCTTCATGACAAAGGCTGTATGTGAAGTGTTCTGCACAGGGTGCGGGGAGCTAGTTCCCTCTTTTTTTGTACCAGGAACACTGGAGACAAGGAGGCACTTGGGCCTCTGGGTGCCTCCCCCCATCACTCTCCCCTCCCTTCTCCCCTGCAGCTTTTATGAGATCACCGGGGGATTTGACCAGCTTCCCAGAGCCCTCAGCACCAACCTAAAACCTGGCACCATCCATTTGGGATCCAAGGTGGAGATGGTAGTGAGGGATGGGCCTGAAGTTCGGGTTTTGTATCGCAAAGGTGGGCCCATCTCGGAGCTGCACAACCTCACTGCTGACTACGTCATCATCTCAGCCTCTGCCAAGGCCACGCGCCTCATCGCCTTCCAGCCACCTCTGTCCCCAGACAAGACAAACGCTCTGCGCTCGGTGCATTACACCAGTGCTACCAAGGTGGTTTTGGCCTGTGATGAGCGCTTCTGGGAACGGGATGGCATCCGAGGCGGGGTCTCCATCACTGACGGGCCATCGCGCTACATCCACTACCCCAGCCACAGCTTCCCCAGCGGCAAAGGTGTCCTGCTCGCCTCCTACACTGTGGATGACGATTCCCTCTTCTTCACTGCCATGAAGCATGACCAGGTGGTGGATATCGTCCTGGATGACCTGGCGGCAGTGCACCAGATACCCAAAGAAGAGCTGCGGCATCTGTGCCCATCTTCCGTGGTCAAGCACTGGTCTCTGGATCCCCTCACTATCGGCGCCTTTGCTGAGTTCACACCCTACCAATTTATAGACTACTCACAAAAGCTCTTCCAGCCAGAAGGCCGTGTCCATTTTGCAGGGGAACATACCTCCCTGCCCCATGGCTGGATGGACACTGCCGTCAAGTCAGGCCTCCGGGCTGCCAGGAACATCCAGGCTGCTGTGGACAAGGAGGCCACTCAGGGAAAGGCGCCTCTGCACCAACCCTTTGCCAACGTCCAGGATAGTTCCTTCAAGAGCAATCCCTAAGGTAGTGGGCACCAGCAGGCTGGGAGGTGGAAAGAGGAGGAAGAGACGCAGAAGAGAGGTTACCATCTGTCTCTCCCTGAACCCAATAATGCCAGGCAAAAAACTCAGCTAGCAAGTGGGCAAGAAACATCACTCCCTTCCCTGTTTCTCTCCCCAGCCGGACCTACAGAAAAGAAGCAGCAGAGTCAGGGCTTATGGAGGGGGAAGGGAAGAATCAAGGGCAGAGAATACTAAAGTCAGGCCTTAGACTGAGGAAATAGTCTCTTGCTGCATAATCGTAACAGGAGAAAAAGAAAAGGTCCAACAATACCTAATTTCTATTACCTACAACTAGAAGTCCCTGAAGGAACAGACAACCCCCAAACCACAGTAATGCTAAACCACATACTGACCACACATGCACTACCACAACACACAAACCCCATCCTTGCATGCCTGGACAAGAGCTCCATATCTTAGTCCAGCGTGGAGACAGGACAGAAAAAATTCTTTTCTACTTTTTTTTAGTGTGTACAGGTGGGATCTTGGCCTCTATCCTCACATCCACATCCACATTGCTAAACAGAATCCCCCACCTCCACCTGCCCAGCCCACACATCTTCCTGGAAGTCTCCCCACTCTTCTAAACCCAACCTGTCTTTCCACACTCCATTCAAATTATTTCCCCTCCACAAAAATCTTCCCTTCACAGCCACCCAACTCCCAGGGATCTCTCTTCTTTGAACCTCAATTCTTCCCCTCTAGAATCCCAACCATGTGGACTACAGATCTTATTTTTCTGACAGATAATCATGTCATGGTGGCATATTATCTCCCCACCTAGACAGAGAGCCCCCAAGGGCTGAGATCTGATTTTTTATGTTTTGGTGCATTTTCCTTGGTAGTCACTAAACACACACTATGTCCTTCAGCCCGTCAACACTTATCAAACCTTTATCTTATGTCTGCTGCTGTGTGAAGAACCAGAAATATAAAAAATGAGCAGCATTATTAAACTGAATCCACTCCTCCCCATGTCCCTATGCTTCCAAAGATCAGCTCCCAAATTGGGCTCAAATTTTTTCTCAAATTCTTGGAGGGCAAGAACCACTCCTAGGTATTGGGGCTCAAGTAGACAAAAGGAAAAGTAGATCAAGTCACAAACCCTCTTCCTGGAGAAGATTCCCCACCAGGAAGACCCTGGTGGAGCACAGTAAAGGACTGATATTCAGTGTCCTGTGCTAAGACTGGCAGATGGTATGGTGGAAGGAATAGAGAATTTCCTAGGAAGTTTTCCTAGGAAACTTTTGTTAAAACCCTGTAAGGCTCCTTTCTGGTTTTCCATTCACCAGTATATTATTTGGGACCTTAGATTTAGTTCCACGTGACAGAAACCAAATTCAAACTAACTTAAGGAAAAAGGACATGTTTTGGCTCTCCTGTCTAGGAAGTGCAGGATGAAGCTGGTTTCACTCAGAGCAAATAGATTCATGACTAAAAAGACATCAGTTAGGTCCCCTTTCCTCCCACCCCTTGGTCTTACTTTCCACACGTAGCTTCTATAGTGGGTTGAATAGTGTCCCCAAATTCATGTCCACCCAGAAGTGATGAGTGAGACCTTATTTGTAAATAAAATCTTTGTTAGTGTAATCAAGTTAAAATGATATCAACTTGGATTAGCAAGGGCCCTAATCCAATGGCTGGTATGCTGATAAGAAAAGGGAATTTTGAGTCCATGGGGAAGACAGTTCAAGAATGCCAAGGATTTCCTGAAGCCACCAAAAACTAGAAGAGAGGCATGGACTAGACGCTCCCTCAAAGCTCCTGAAAGGACACAGCCCTGACAACACCTTGATTTTGAACTTTTAGCCTAGAAATGTGAGCAAAATAATTTCTATTGTTTAAGCCATCCAATGTTGTGATAATTTGTTATAGCACAGCCCCAGGAAATCAATTCAGCTCCCTTCTTTCTTCTGCTTTTCTTCTGGAAAAGAACATAATCAGAAGCCATTTCAGAATAAGACTAATAAATCTAATAAATTAAAGAATAACAATAATAATAAATAAATAATAAATCAAAAATTAAAAAAAAACCTTTTTAAAAGAAGCCATTCCAGGATCATGTTTTTATAGGTTGCCATACAAAGTAAAGAAAGGGCTCCTCTCTTCTAGAGTCCTCATATGGGTTTCCATTCTGGTCATCTACCTGCTTATTCAAGGGCCCACCCCTTGTCCTAGAAAGTGGGTCTTGTAGCTGGCAGCCCCAGTAGCCACCAGAAGTTGGGAAGGGGACAGCAGCAGATACACACTGCAGACTGCAACTCCTCTAGACCTCAGGGTTGGGCTAAGGAATATGTTGAGCTACTCCAGGGCTTGGGTAAGCCAGCTCACAATGTAGATGGTGAACCAGAGGCCAAACTACACCCAGAATGTGAGGGAGGAGGAGGAGGAGGAGGAGGAGGAGTCATCTTTTTCCAAACTGTCTCCTGGGCTGTTTAGATTTGGTAGCCTCTCAGTGTCTTGACAAAGGCCATCTCTTCCTTAAGAGTCTCAGAGTTAGCCTGGGAGGAAGCCTGACCCAACAGGTCTAATCAGAGAAAGGAGCAGAAGGCAGAACTAGAGGAGAGGGAGGGGCCTAGGCAAGAGCCCACCATTGACCATCATGAATCCCCAAGAAGAGGGTCCTAAAGAAACAAGTCAGGAAGGAACAAAGGCAAGGACTCGGCAGCAGGTCTACTCTCTCTAGGCTAAAGGGGAGAACATATTGAAGGGACTAAAGATTTTAGGAAGAATTAGTTTATTTCACTTAGCATGATAGTCTTCATATCCATCCATTTACTGGCAAATGCCATAATTTCATTCTTCTTTATAGTTGAGTAATATTTCATTGAGAATATATACCACAGTCCCCCAAAACCAAAAACTGGATGTTCTCCCTGATATGTGGATCCTAACACACAATAAGTGGTGGGGCGGGGTGGGAAGAATAGAAGTTCATTGGATTAGACAAAGGGTAATGAAGGGAAGGGAGGGGGGAAGGGAATAGGAAAGACAGTGGAATGAATCAGACATAACTTTCCAATGTCCATATATGAACACACGCAGTGTAACTCCACATCATGTCAACCACAAGAATAGGAAATTACATGTCAAAAACACTCTACAGTCATGTATATTGAAAAAGAACAATTTTTTTTTTAAAATTTAGGAGGCACCTCTCTTCTTTCCCTTGCTCCTGACCAAAAAAGGTGTGTGTGGCGGGAAGGGGGACAAAAAAAATATCTAAGATTCAGATTGGTGTGACTCGCTCACAGGAATACATGACCTTCCAGTGGACACAGGCAGAGTTTGCAGAGCAGGAGCCCCGGGGTGGGGACAATGGTGCTGGGTGAGTCAGGGCTGGTTTGTAGACATGGCTGCCAGGTGGGACAACAGAGCACGGCCAGGAAAGCCGCTGCTGGAGTGGCCAAGCTGCAGCCACTGGGTGGGGCAAGTGTGGCCCTAGAGCCTGCCTGGAGTCGGTCCATGAGGTCAGGTGAGGAGAGCACTGCTGGCCCTTCCACATGCCACTCCTC